ATGATACGTCCCTTTGCCACGATTTCAAGAAAGAAAGAAAATGTTTCAATAAACATGAAATCTACTGTGTTAGAGATGCTACGCTAAATGATTTAATCATTCCAAATTTTCTATTTGAACTCAGACCGTCCTCTAGATTTAGGTTCCTGCCAGCATCCTCTTAAATATTTCATATCTGTCCTTGCCAGACGGTCTGCATGCCAGTGCTAATGTTTTTTGTCTAGCTGTAAAGCTTCCCTTTCTTTATTTGTTTATATATATATAATTCATTTACAAGATTTTGCTAGTTCTTAATCCAACCCAATTCCTATTACTTTACAGACCTGTGGGAAAAAAACAAAAATTACAATTCTGTTTTCAATCATTCAAGGTGCAAAATGCAAATTTTGCTGCTGCCATATCGATGGGGCTGCTAATTTTCGAGCATGCATGAAATGCTAACTCGGACAAAAAGAAAATCATTGCTTCCCACGGAGGGAGGGAGTGGGTGGTGCCTTAAACACTCTAATGAGTATCGACAATTCAAAAGTTCTTCGTGATAAGTCATCATTATGACCGCGGATTTGACAACACTGAAAGGGTTGAAATATTAAACATAATAAATAAACTATTCTGTCTAGCTTGGAAATTCTTTGACTGCTCTTTGATTGGAAACCAGAGGTGTCTCTTTTTTTCTAAAAAAGGATGATATTTATTTGCTTTTTTATTAATGATATTCTTTTGCATTCCAATTTTAAGATGAAGATCTTTCAGATCAAATAAGGTAAAACCCCCTGAAACCATGATCAAATTAACCAATTGGATCACAGATTCTGAGTGCAGCATAAATCAAGATGTTTTTATAGTCAAATCGTGGTCGGCTACCAAGCGTATTGTGATTTCTCGTGGCTTAATTGATTTGCTCAATGACAAAGAGAAGGACAAGTGTCCCTTCCCTAGTGCTGGATTCAAGCGCATTGTTTTAAGAATCGTTTGGTAATAGTAGTCATACTTTTTAGTGCATCAAATAGTGCTTGACTGACAAATAAGTTGGAAAAAGTGCTAGCGGCTTGTCTTTATTTATTTATGTATTTTAACATCAATGCAGTCTATGACAACTTCCAAGGGAAGCATGGTTTGAAAAACGCTGGATTGTGCAAAATTATTCTGAACTCTACATCAAATTGAATTTAACTTTTAATCTTCAATTTTTTTCTCCAATTATTTTCTAGTAAAAAATAGACTGTTCTATTAATTTTGACGGCACATGAATATTTATAAAAACGACACAAGTATTAAGACATATATTATTCACCGGATTTTTTTTTTAATTTAGAAGAAACGGCACAAGTATTTATAAAAATGACACAAGTATTAAGACATATCTTATTCAAGTGATTTTTTTCTTCTAAATTAAAAAAAAATCCCTTTTAAAAAAAATCGAACAAAAAACAATAATAATAATAATCTGAATTTTCTTCTTTTTCTTTATCTCTCTTTTCCCTTTTCTACCACCACCACACACCATCAATCGTTAAAGTCTGTTTTATATCATTATAAAAGATGATTACAAAGAGTATTTATACATATTCAATCAATGATGATAAACATTGATTGGCATAACAAACTAAAAAATAGTTTAGCAAAGGATAAGAGCTAAATTATAAAAGGAACCGTAGGATTGAAAATCCTATCCTTATATTACACTTTCGTAAGTTGTGCATGAGCTTGGATCTTAACTATTGAAACGGAGTTCGGGATAATGGTTTTGTGAGAATGTTTGCAATCTGTTATGCAGTGGGTAGATAAGATAATTGAAGCACACCTTGCTGTACTATCCTTCGCAAAATGAAAATCTATTTCTAGATGTTTTGACCATGAATAAAAAATATGAGTGATGGTGAGATACGACTGAGACATTATAACGCCAAATTTTGAAGAGATTGGGACATGACATACTAATTTCCAACAAGAGAGACTCTATCCATTCAACCTATGCACAAGTGATAGCCAATGCATAATATTTAGCTTCGATGGAAGAGCAAGCAACGGTTCATTATTTTCTAGCCCTCCAGAAATCAGATTTTTGCTAAGGTAAATGGTATAGCCTGATGTGCTCTTTCGACCATCTACATCACCAACCCAACCAGAATCCACGTATGTATTGATGGAATATGTAAATGATTTTTGTAAAAATAAGCTATGGTTTTTGATAGAGACTATAGATAATAGAGGATCCGTTTGACAGCAACCCAATCAGAGTCCGTGTATGCTCAATATAAGGTAGGAATGTCTCTTTCTAAACCTGATGAATATACTTTTGTTGTCGTTATTTCTGCTACTAATGCATTTCCAGCCATTTCTTATGGTAAATCTCTTCATGTTGAGGATGAGAAGAAGGAAGGTTAAGGATTTTGAAATGAGATGAATGAAGGGTTAGTGAGGGTTAGGGATTTTTCAATTGGGTTTGGGGATTTTTTTTTTTTTTTAATTAAGTTAGGGAGGGAGTGATTGATATGTAGTTCATTACTGGATAGTTAATAGAACACGTGGATTCTATGTTGTAAAGTTAATCATGATGTCATGCTCTATTCAGCTTAAAATGGAATTTGAATAGAAAAAATTTACATGTGCTAATATGATTACTCGAACCTTAGTTCATGAACTTTTTATCTAAAATTGAAAGAATTAGCTAATATGATTAAAAAGTATAAAGTTCATGATTTTTTATTATATTAACCTAAAACAAATTACACTCAAATTGTTTTTTTTTCTTTTAATTTTAGTTGTTTGTACCTTTTTTTATATAAGAAAATATAATTTTATTAATATTAAAAATAGTATGTAGCCATTTCCATCTTTAAAAAACTCAAATAGAGATGGCAAGCATCATAATCGATTCTTGTAAAATAAAAAGAGACTTGCTTACAAAAACAAAAGCTATTGACTTTTCGAGTATCATCTCGTCCTCTCTATTTTATGAACTTCTATATGGGTTCTCTGAGTTTGTCCTTAATAGGTTGTTCACATCATGAATCTTTTCCATAGGTTTCAAACTCAAGAATCTCCTACCACCACTTATTAATGGGAGAACATATTCCACTACCAAATCTCATTAATGAAAATAACATGTACAACCTCATCTTATTGATAGATTCTTAATTAAAATCCATTTAAAATTGTAATTTCATGCTCCAAACCATCATGGATTTTCGAACAAAACTTCAATCGATACAAACTAATAATAAAAAATCTTAAATATTAAGGATAACAAATCAAATAAAACCATGGATTTTAGATCATGTAGATATAAATTCATAATTATTTGGACTATTGAAAACACTAATTTTTTTTTTAAATAGATATAAAATTATTAAGAAAACAGCGAAAAATGAAGAAGAAGAAAAAACAAGAGAAAGATTTAGGGGCTACTGCGGATAATTAAATAATTATGGGCGGTGATAGCCCAAAAAATATTATTGAAATGGTGTCTATACTAAAAAGAAAGTTCTTCATACTCCTTTTCAATAATGGAATATTAAGAAAATAAAACGCTTTATGCTTAATTAAGTGGCAGGCGAGTTTGCTATCTAGGTTATTATCTGGGATTCATTATAAAACATCAATTTGAATGTGCATGGATGATATGCTAGAAAGATTTTGGTGTTCAAAAATGAGGGTGAGATTCGTTAAAGAGAAAAATTGCTACTATATGTTATAACATGAGGATTGTCTCAAATTATTTGGTTTATGTGTTGAACGGAATTTAGTGAAGAAGATGGAAGATAAATGGAAAATGATAAGAGGCTGAAGTGCATGATAAAACAACAACAATTTAGTGTTATTATTATTGTGTTGGCACGGACAAACGGTCAGAATTAATACAGAACAGAAAGGAAAAGGAGTCCGTACATTAATAGCTACAGCTAATAATTTAGAATGGAGATAATTAATATTATCATGCATGACTGCTACATTCTTTTTAACATTATTTTAGACTCGTAGTGAGTGAGTGTGGTTGCTGATAAAATAGGGCATTTTTTCTCTGACCTAAATGAATCCGATAATTATGTATTGTTAATGCTAACAAGACCCACAAAGCAAGTGTTCAATAAAAACGCTACGTACGTTTTAGAGTCCACGAATGTTTTATGTTTTAACCATGATTCACAACAATGTTGTAAAATGTGCATTTCATTGATGAATTAATTCTTAATAAATGCATCCCCAATGAGTGCTTATGTTGTAAAAAAATCCTTTTTTTTTTTTTAAATCCAGATAATATTTTTAGATCAATTTACACGTATTTAAATTAAATCAATTTTTCTGAAAAAAAGTACCAAAAATATAAAATAAATTCACCAACAATTTAAACAGAAAATTAACATCGAATATCTAAAGTATGAAATTGATGAGATTTTTACTTTTTATGGTCATGTAAATCTAATACTCAGATTTAAACAGCTATGGCAGCAGCATACCCACTTAACATCAATCCAATCCCAACAGTTTTAAAGGTTACAAATTTTAGTGGTTATGTGAAAGCATGCTCTGAACTCTCCAATTTAATATTTTTGTTTGTTTATTCTGGCAGACAAAAATAATCACCTAATTATTGCACACCCGAAAATCGAATAAACTCCCACAGAGGAAGGAGAACATTATTGTATTTAAAATGGCCACTAGAAGTTGCAAAAGTCAAAATAGAGTCATTGTTTATTGATCACCATATGCATTCATAATGATAAGATCAGATTATTACAACAAAAAAACATAAAAATTAAATGCCCAAAGCTAACTAAACTACAACTATATATATACTAACTACAAATTAATTTATATCCCTGGCGGGCAACAACATATAGCATATATATATAATTAATAATTTAACAATTACTTCTTTCAAAAGCCCTTCCTTTCCTTTGTTCAAAAGGCCCTTTTCTTCCCTCATCTTTTCTGCCCCTAATTAAACATCGATCCTGCTAAAAAGTTTCTCCAAAGCCAAAAACCTTCATTCTCGATTAATAACCATAGTACTGAAACTGAGGTTGGACAAAACTGTTAACAAAGCCTCCTCTAATTGCTCCATCATCTTCCTCCTCATGCAGCCCATCAAACTACAAATTTCAAAACAAAACAACACCGCACAATTTTAATACGAGCTGCATTTCATTAATCTAACAATTTCAGACCTTTATTATATTCTTAAAAAAAAAACATCATAGTATTCGTAAATAAATATGAAATAATAATAATACCCATAGCTCTTCTTCGTCTTCATCTCTGGTAGAACATGCAGCCTTGGCAATCTCACCAGTTTCGTCGTTTCGTGCGAACCTGCCACGTATACGAGGCCTGTTGTCCGCTAGAGTTTTGCGGCATGCATACTTGTGTCAACACAACAATAAAAATAAGTCAAAACCAATATTAATTGATATATAAATCTTTTTGTATATTAGCCATTTCTAAAATATACTTAATGATCGATATAATATTAAATATTTTATTCAACAACAAAAAAAATGTATGCATGTTTTTTTTTTTTTTAACCGTGACTTGATTCATTTATAATCTCTTTGGCACATGCAAATGGTACCAAACAAACATGTTTTTACTAATTTATCTTTCAAATTTTAACGGCAAGATGTTCTCGAATTGACCATCAGAAGGTGACTAAGCTTATTTCTGATGGGATTTTAGGCTGGCCATTTATACAACAACTATATATATATATATATATATATATATGAAATTTATTTTTCACAATCTCATTGCATTCAAACCCAAAATAATAAGCAATATATACATTTTAACCAAAATTATAATGTTTTACCATTGCTGCCTTAAATATGCATATAGAATTGTTAACTGGTTGTTTACTTACCTTAATGGTCTTGGTGAAGTTTCTCTGGTTACGTTTGGCTCTATACTTTGAGATTCTCTCCTTCCTTTCTTCAGCACTGTAACGTCCAACTTTGAAGTTTGAATCTTCTATAAACGAGCTCTCTGCAGCTAAAGGACTTGAAAATGACCTCTGTGTTGTATCTGATGTTCTATTAACATTCTAAAATACAAACAAAAACAATATTCTATCAGGCATTGCTGATAGAGAAAAAAGGACAAAAACAGAGCAAAAACAGGGGACTAGAGTAGATTAGTGTGTGGTTTTACTTGTAAATCACCAGTGCTGCAAACCCTCCTCAATTGACCAGCAAGAAAGTTGCTTTCAGGTAAGCTTAAGGCTTGGCCTTGATAATTTGGAGATTCCAAGAGAGTATTAAAGCCAGGTTGAAATAGAAAGCCAGGCTTGCCTTCAAAAGAATTGCTACTATAGCTTCTTTGCATCATCTTTGCCACATTTTCTACACCGCTATAACTACAAGGCATAAAAGATTGTTGATTATAAGAGGAGTCAAAACCCACTTGACATTCCTCAGTTTTCACCTCCAAAGCGTCCAATCCAGGGAAATTACTATATCCATTAGCCAGATTTTCACCATTTGCTAACGCCTGCAAATGGTTTGTCTGGTAAAGTGACAAATTCTCTAGTTGGTGACTTGGAGGTGACGATGAGAGAATGCTTGGGCTAAAACTGTCTACGGAGTTTGAATTTTCAACTGGGTATTGATTGTTTTGGTTGTTTGAGAATTCTTGAAGAATATCAATGGAAGAGTCACAGAAAGGAGGGAAAGGGTCAGAGAAGAAAAGATCATCATCTGGAGAGACTATTTCTGGACTTGAATGGGGGTAGAAAGAGGCATCAAGAACGTAAAGATCAGAAGACATTTTGGTTAAGCCCAACTCTTTGAGAGAATTGATAGAACTCTGAAAATACTAGAAAACTAGGACAAGAAACCTGAGAGAAGTTGTTTCTTTGCGTATTATTTTTGTTTTTGAGCAGCTAATTTTGGCAATAGAACTGCCACACAGCAGCACAGGCGACACTTGGGGTCTGATTAATTTAATCAACGCATGACATTGCTATAGCAACAAGACAAAATACATGCCAAGTTTCTGCTCTCTCTCTCTCAAAGTTCAAACGAACACAAAGGCCAGTCCACCTCACCTATGTGATTTATAAAGCAGTCCAATTTGCCCATATACCCCTATACTTGATCCTAACTAAACCAACACCCCAAATAAGAAGAACATAAGTACATCTTCTAACGATTCCCTTTGTTTAAAATCATGTCCACAAACACAAAGACCAGTCCACTTCACCTATGTGATTTATAAAGCAGTCCAATTTGCCCATATACCCCTATACTTGATCGTAACTAAACCAACACCCCAAATAAGAAGAACATAAGTACATCTTCTAACGATTCCCTTTGTTTAAAATCATGTCCACAAACACAAAGACCAGTCCACTTCACCTATGTGATTTATAAAGCAGTCCAATTTGCCCATATACCCCTATACTTGATCCTAACTAAACCAACACCCCAAATAAGAAGAACATAAGTACATCTTCTAATGATTCCCTTTTGTTTAAAACCATGTACACAAACACAAAGACCAGTCCACTTCACCTATGTGGCTTATAAAGCAGTCCAATTTGCCCATATACCCCTATACTTGATCGTAAATAAACCAACACCTCAAATAAGAAGAACATAAGTACCTCTTCTAATGATTCCTTTTGTTTAAAATCATGTCGAGTAACTCTTGAATTATAGATATTTTTATTGGATGCGCATTTCTCTGATATATCTCAACCGGTTAGAAGTTAAAAAAAAAAGCTTATATCTACCCATAAATTTATAATTTAATAGTTTTAGTTTTTTAGTTTTAAAAAATAATTTTTGTCATTGTTTGCATATCTTTATCTACACAAAATTAATATAAATGTGAAGATTGATACATTTTTTCAAGTACATATATTTTCTCATCATTTTTTTTTATTAACACTCTCCTATCATTGTTCTAAATTCCTGAAATATAAAAAGTTTTTTTTTTTTACTTAATTCTTTTTTTCCATTTCATCCATTTTTACCATTAAATATTGGACACAATTCATATATTTTCTTAAAAGTTTATAAAAAAAGATTACAAGTTGATTTCTCGATCTTACTTTTTGTTCATATTTTCCAATATTTTTTAATAATATATGTAATGATATTTTAGTGACAACTAGCTTATCACTCGCGCTATAGTCTATCTGCGAGTCCGGTAGAACAAAATTATTTTAAAATTTTTTAATTATAATTTTTTATTCAATTAATTCTTTGTAATGTTTTTATAAATTTTCTACTTAAAAAAAATATAAATCATTTTTCTTTATGGATTGATTTTAAAATAAAAAACTATAATAATTTTAAGTAAAATATTAATCAAGAATTAAAAAACTTTTAAAACATATTTTTTATAATATTTTATTCCAAAAAATAAAGTTATAATTAATGGATAAACTTTTATAAAAATTAACAAATGAAAAAAATCTTATTTAATACTGATGAGGAGATTAATATTTGAAATTATCCATGAAACGTTGCGAGCGAGATATAATAAAATCATTTCAAAATTTTATAATTTATTTATTTAATTATTACTTCTTTTTTGCCATAAAATTTCTACTTAAAACATGATTTATTCTTCTTTATTCAAGGATACTTTAATAAAAACTTGTAATAATTTAAACTTGAAATATTAATTAAGAATTCAAGAATAAATACTTTAAAAATATATTTTTTAATAAGAATGAATCCAAAAAATAGAGTTACAATTAATGTATAGACTTACATAAAAATTAACTAATGAAAAAGTTAAATTTTATTCTTATTTAAAATTGATGAGAATATTATTTTTTTAAAGTATATGCATTTTATCTTTATATATTTAAAAAATAATCAATAAAGTTAGCATGAAAAATGTTTTTGAATAATTGCTTGGTTTCTTTAAAAAATTATTTTAATTATTTTATTTCAAATAAATTGGTTTTATAATCATAAATTGATGGAAAAAAAATCAAAGGAAAGAAAAAAAAGCATGTGTAGTGCATCGGTTAGGAGATTAAAATTTTTATTTTTAAAATTTTAGGGATCAAAATGAAACCACTTGAAAATTAAAAAAAAAAAAAAAAAAAACTAAGCTACATCAAATGAATAGTAGTTTGTGAGGGAATGAACAAAGAAAATTACTATTCAAAACCCCTCACCTTATTTTAATTTATTTGTAATGTTTTAATTTTTTTTATTAAACGGTTAGAATATTTTTAATTCCTTTGTGTCAATTGTAACTAAATATCTTTTTGAAAGATGTTAAGGATTTATCCCCTATATGATGAATTAAAGGAATTTAATAATTTTTTTGATAAATATATCTATCTCTCTTTATATAATACTAAAAGCATTTCATTTGTTTTTAATTTTTTTTTTAAATATTCAATCTATCATTCCAATTAAAATTTTCAATCGTAAAAAAAAAAATTGAACAAAATATCCTTTACTAAAATGAGAAAAAAGAAATACTTAAAATCACATGATTTACTTTTTTTTATTACATTTTAATTGGGAGCATTTGAATTTAAAAATATATATATATATTTGCCTAAAAAAATTAATAGAATAACAAATTAAACATTTTAAATATTTTCAGAAATAAATATGATGCAATTAGAAACTTTGAGTATTATATAAGAATATATAAATATATTAATGCTATTTTTTTTTGTGTGCTAACTCTCAAGTTTGAACTTAAAAGGGCAAATAAAAATTATTTATAATAAATTTCTTTAAATGCTAATTCTACCTGAAAAGTCAAATAATAATAATAAAAAAAAACTTCCTTAACATCATGCCAATCATTTGGAATAAATATAATTTAGAATACTATAAAAATACTACCAACTCAACTCTCATTTCTGCTATGTAATTCATATCATTGAATTAAATTTAAGTAACATGTAATAAATTTTGCCACTAAACAATGAATCTGATTTTGTTCCAGTGCATGTGGTTTTTGCTGATTCACAACACTCCCCTTTTCCAACAAAAAATCCAAAATTCTGCACTCTAAAGCATCACTTCCTCTAGCTTCTAATAAGAAAATAAAAAGCATAAAGAAGTAGAGAAAGAAATGACTTGAAAGAAAATTTGAAGAAGGACAACCAAGCATAATTAAAAAATAACAGACACAGAAGGGAGAGCGTAAAAAATGGGAGAAAATGATGATTGTACTAGGCCCCAAAAAGCAAAGAAAGGAAATCCAAAAAAAAAAAAAAAAAAACAACACCCATCCTGTTTTGATGGAACTAAAAGTAGGAAAATACAACACACAATCATCTGAATAACCTATGGATTGACCCGTATAACCAGCGATCTTTTGGATCAAGTCGTGGATAGGGCAAAACAATTAAGAATTTGGAACATAAAAACTCCCCCCATCGTTTGTCAAACTGGGTTGAAATCCGGTTTTATTCGAGTGGTTGGCCAAGTATTCATAACTTGGGGGTAAAATTACCTTCATATTCTTGGTAGGAGATCAATAAAATGAAGCAACATGGTACCGTTATAATTATTATTATAATTATAAAAAAAATTAAAAGAATTGGTACATGTCAACAGTGATCACTATTTATTTATTGTAACAGTAGACTCATTAGCATGGGAGTCTCCTTTTTTTAATTTTTTTTTTTTTAACTTTCTGAGACAATAATATGAAAATTATAAAATCTTTTACATTTTGGTTCTTAATATTTTTGAAATTTTTATTTCGACCCACATCTTTATTTATTATGCATTTTGGTCCCTAAGTATAAAAAGAAGGGATAAAAGAAGTGAGAGACTGGAGGAGAGATAGAGCGCCGACCAAGCTTATTTCAATTGTTTTGGCTAATGACATTCCATTTGATTTTTTTTCTTAGAAAGATGAGTTTATCCATGATAGCTTCAATGCATCAAATAATATGAATTTCAATCAACATCTTTTGTCAAACCAGAGTTGAAATCCAGTTTTATTCGAGTGGTCGAGCAAGTATTCATAACGTGGGGGTAAAATTACCTTCATATTTTTGGCAAGAGACCAATCAAATGAAGCAACATGGTAACATTATAATTATTATTATAAAGAAAACTAAACGAACTAGAATATTTCAGCATTAATAGCTATTTATTTATCGTAGCAAGTAGACTCATCGACATTGTGGAGGAGAGTCTCGTTTTTTGTGATTTTTTCTACTTTCTCATAAAATAACATAAAAATTATACAACCCTTGACACTTTTATTCTTGATATTTTCAAAATTTTTATTTCAATCCACATATTAATTAATTTATGGTGCATTTTGGTTCTTAGGTGTAGAGAGAAGGGAGAAAAGAAGATAGAGAATGAGGAGAGAGAGAGCGCCGACCAAGCTTATTTTAGTCACTTTGGCCGACGACATTCCATTAGATTTTTTTATCCGGAGAGATGAGTTTGTCCATGATGGTTTCAATCCACTCGAATGATTGGAGGAGGTAGATTAGAGCTAAAAAAGAAAAAAAAACTTGATTTGATTATTTTTTTTAACTTGCTTTAAAATGATTTTTAAGGTTGAAAAATTATTTATTGACTTTATTTTGATCATTTAGAAGTGTTTGGAGGAAAAATGACGATAAAAATGAGTTTTTTGGAGCCTGTAATTGGATCTATGACTTTTCCAACAAACTTGAGTTTGTTGAAAGTTGTAAGTTTTTTTTTTTTTTTACCTAATCAGCAACAAAGGCCTAAAGAAGCAGGCCCAAGTGTGCGGGGACTAGCATGGCTGCACAAGCCTGACCAACCAAGCCCAAGCGGGCTGAAATGGCCTGGAGTGTGGGCCTAACCATTTTTTTTCCTTCCAACAATTTATTTTTACGTTTTTTTTGTCATGAAATTGGGTATAAAATTTATAGAAACTAGATCGTTATTTTTTACCTACAGTTTAATGGTGATGAAAAATGTATGATATGTTTCAAAATTTTAGATTGAACATATATATCTAATTATATTATTTTTATTGTTTAAAATTTGTTTCTTCAATTATTTATTTTTTATCAAAATTCTCATCAAATTATTATTTTATTATTTTTTGATATAATTTTATTTGTTAATAAATTTGGTATTTTTAATCTATGAATTTTGAAATAAAATTTTAGAAAGTGATTATTTTATTTTTAAAATAGATTATTATAATTCATACGATGGATTATTTTTATAATTTTTTTAAATAAGAGTAGCATATTTGCATATATATATATATATATATATGAATTATTAATTTTATTGAAAATTAATTATTTATCTGGACATATAAGGTAAATTATTTGTTATTTATTTTTTATGTTCTAAAATCTATATTTTTTTAAATAAAATAATTAAAATAATATTTTAAAAGAAACTCTTAATTATTTAAATATAAATTTTTATATTAATATTATTAATTATTTTATTAATAAATTTATATAAATCAAATGAGTTTATTAAATAAATACATTCAATATGTGTAAACGACTAGAAACAAAATTTCTATTTATATCACATTATACAAACTGTTAATTTTATGTACATAATGGTTTTATGACGTATCTTATTGCGGCTAGCCAACTAGTATCTTACTAATCATTTTAACTTTTTTTCACCAAATGGCCTAATGGGTGTCTCCACTCTTTGGAAGTCGTCGTCGGTTCTCCTGGCTTCGAAGATGGAAATATTTTTAAAAGTCTCAACTAGAAAGAAACTTCCTTAGAAAAAAACAGGAACACCTTCCATTAAAAAAGAGGAGCATTTTGTAAATAAAGTTGGTGTCTTGATTGAATTTTTGGGTCAGAAACAAGAACTAAAGTTGGTGTCTTTGAGAGAGGTCTTAGGACACCATGGCTTCTCAGGAGCACTTGGACAAGATGCAGTTACGACAGAACTATAGAAATTTTTGGCACACTGATTTAATGGGCACCATTCAAGCTGATGCCCCATGTAAGAATTTAATATTTTAGCAATGTTTGCTGTGTAAAAAGCTGTAAACTTTGTCTTTGGTTTTTGGGGTTTGATGTCGATTTTGTTTGTGTGCGTGTAATGTGCAGATTGCTGCTTGGCTTGTTGGTGGTGAGTGCTCTTTGATCTAAGAATTTTTTTGGCTTTGAAATGTAGATCTGGTTGTTTTTCGTTTACACTCCTTAAAGTTGCATAGGGTTTTTGTGGGTTCGTGACTTGGGGTAACTTGGCGTTGACTCTGATAGAGTATCATGGTTTTGGTCAAAATTGGGCGATTTTGAGCAATTTTGATTATTTGGCAGGAAAGTTTTATGGGCTTTAGTTGTACTTTTTTTTTTGTGCTGTTCTTAAGTCTACCATTTATGGTTTTCTTATTTGGAAGTGAAGAACTATGGTTGAACTGATCGAGCTTACTCTTTAGAGTTTCCTCTCTGAATTGAAGAATTTAATTGACTTACGTCTCCTTGTTGACTCAAGTTATAGTCCTCATTTCCGAGAACTTTTCAGATTTTAATAAATCGACACGGATTGCCTGGAATTTGATTGTACCATTTCAACTTCTTTGGAATGAATAATGTTTGTGAAATACATGAACTCATTAGATGGTGACTTCCAACATTTCCAGGAATTTTAATTTCTAACAATATATCTCAATATGTGAGGCTTTAATTCATATCATTCAACTATTATTGTGCCCCTTATTCTGATTTATACTGGCATTCTGTGATCGTTCTTTTATTCTTGTCTTTGTGTTGGTTTTCTTTTATATTTCAGAGATTATTCCTTTGCGGATATATTTGTTGATCTGTCCATTTATGAATGCTTTGATATCTTTTACACCTTTTCTCTTGCGCCTTTGTATCACAACATCTACATGTCTTTTGTGGCCTCATGTTTGCCATATACTTTTTTTTTTAAAAAATATCAAGCTTTGCAAGATTTTAGTTGGAGAATTCTCATCAGGGCTCGAGAAGGAAGAGGGGAGCAAAAATGTTATGTGGGCTTAGGTGAAGTGAGAAGGATTGGTTGTAGTGTTGTTAGATAGCAAATTAATGAGGTGGCAAAAATTGTAGGCCTTTTTATATAGTTCTTATTTCTCAACATGTTTTGGCTCTATAGTTTATCAGTTCATTGGATTGTTAGCCTGAAATTATTATAAAGTCTTTAGCTGCATGTTGTGTGAGATAACATTGAACCATAGAAAAATCTTTTTGAATTACAATAATAAGTTAGAATCAAAATGCATTTTCAAGATTGAAATGTCAACATTAACATGTTTGCTCTGTTCTTTTGAATTCCTTCAAAAGCGTTGTTTGAAATTTCACTTCCTGATTGCAACGCAAATTGATTGTTTTAAACTACCTTCTTTTTTAAAAAATATCAAGCTTGAAAAGGTATTCTATTCTAGTTTGCTGCTTATGTTTCTTGCAGTGTATTAAGTCTTTTTGTGGTAATGTGGGGCGGTTGAATACTGTTGAAAGATGGTTTAATTTTTTCACCAAGAGGCTAAAAATGCAAGTTTTGATATAATCTTCTTGACTTTTTTTCTTTGACTCTTTGAGAATTGCTGTTCTATAATAACATCTTTTTTTTCACAATATATTCAGGAATTGTAATATAATTATTTAATTTGCTTTATTTTTCATGTAATGTATAGATTTCCAACTTGTATAATTTCTGGGTCTTCTTAAATCATGATTCACCTAATTCTCCTCCATTCTTTTCTAGTGGGCCATGTATATCATACTTGCTCCGTAAACGAGCACTGTACAATGACATGTCAAGGTAATTGTTGCTTTTGATTCTTATCTAATGTTTAAGATTTTTTCGTTATATTCTGTTTAAATAATCTGTCTTCTTGTTTGTAAACAGGTATGTTTGTTGTGCTGGCTATGTGCCTTGTAGTGGCAGGTGTGGTGAAAGTCGCTGCCCTGAAGTTTGTCTTGCCACAGAGGTTGGGAGTAGTTTATTTTTGGTCATTCAACATGTTTACTCTTTTTAGAAGTTTATTGGTCAAACATTAAGCTCCTACATACTTACAAGATATTTGGAGGATATTGAAATAGAACTTGGACTCATTTGTATAAGTTGTGAAGTAGGAAGCAGTTTTGAATGTTACAGGCTTTTTGTTTCTGGAACTCTTCACCTAGCTAGCATATTGTAGCATGTTAGATTCTTTTCCCCTTGACAGTTGAAGCAATTTTGAATTAAGTTTTACACCAATCATATAGGTATACCACAATAATATGGCGATATTTTGTGTTGATTCCTGATAACTGACTAAATATATATCCTTCTCCATTTAGTTTAGTCAAACTACTATAGAATATGGCATTATCTCTTTTGGAAGCATGCTTTCTACAATGGTGAACTAGGCAAACAGAATGAGGGAGGAGGTATCATCAATGTGCTTCTTCATTGATGGGAACTTTAGATGGTTCTTGACATGCTTTTATGCTCACAACAGTTGGCATATTTTAGCTTGATACAGCCAGAAACTGTATTGGAACTTTCCACAATGAATGTTGATTAACAGTTTTAGTTGGTTTTATGGGTTTAAATAGCATTAAATGCTAATATGCCTGCCATGGAATCTCATTCCTGTAGTTATGATATGACTAACCCTTGTATTGTGCTTGAATTCCCAGGTATTCCTTTGCTTTGTAAATTCAGTGGCCTCTACTCGCTTTATGTTGCAAGATGAATTCAACATTCAGACAACACAGTGTGACAATTGTATTATAGTATGCTCTCTCTCTCTCTCTTCAGAAACACACATAATATTTGTGCTTATTTGCAATTGGTTGAACATGTTACCTCTTCCTATTCAGGGTTTCATGTTTTGCCTCCAACAAATTGCATGCATATTTTCTATAGTTGCAATGATTGTTGGTAGTGAAGAAATTCAACAGGCTTCTCAGTTGCTATCTTGTTTGGCTAATTTGGTGTACTGCACGTAAGTGCTTACTTTCATATCTTATCATTGAATACGCTCAACTTAACTGGTTTGCAACTGGCTCACTGATTTTGTTGCATCCTTTTGTTCCTCTTGCCAGGGTTTGTGCTTGTATGCAGGTATGTTGTTGATCCACAAACAATGTTTTTTCATACCTTATAAACTACTGGTTTTTCGGGAATGACATCAATCAAACTGTGCTAAGTGGGGTTATTTTTCAGACACAGCACAAGATTGAAATGGACAAAAGAGATGGCATGTTTGGGCCACAACCAGTGATGGCAGTGCCCCCTGTTCAGCAGATGTCACGCATTGACCAGCCTATTCCTCCTTCAGTTGGATACCCACCTCAGGGATATGGACAGCCCTATGGTTATCCACCCCAGGCCCAAGGCTACCCTGCAGCAGGCTATCCTCCAACTGCTTATCCTCCATCAAACTATCCACCCCCTGGCTATCCGCCATCTGGATATCCAAAGTGATCTTTTCACTGTGATAGATGCTGGCTTGCAATCTCAAACAACCATTTCATTGTGGCTATTATTGGTTTGGAGGTGATGAATGGTTTGAACTTCTGAGTTGTGTGAAATGGTGAACAAATGAGGTGGCTCGTTTTTATTTCGCATGAGTATAGGAATTGGTAAATTGTGCGTGCATTGACTGTGCATCAAGACAACTAGTAATTCGTTAGTTTTAATTTTTGAGGACGTAATCGCTATCTTCCCATCTCATGTTTTGTCCCTCTTATAGTTCTTCACTATTCGTGTTGGCAAAATTTGGTGCAACTTGCAACCTGAGGAGTTGCACTTATTTATTCCTCATGCTGGGACTGGGACTGTTTCCTTACCTCATTATATGAATACTGATTTTTGGCTATCTAGTAAATGTAATTCTTTTTCGTTGTTGCTGGAAACATGAGATTTCAGGAAGTATTAACCTGTTACTATAAGAATGAAAGAAGAGCCTTTCGCAAGCTTAGCGAATGGCGAAGCGACAAGCATGTGAATGGTTAAGATGCTGTTGTCAGTTATTCTCTTCCTTGGTGGTACTTTTGGAGTGCCTGAACTGGTTTCAAACATGTTCATTTTGCTTAAAAGGTGATCTCTCTGTCATTTTACAGAGAGATTTTCACTTTTCAGTCTCAAAAAGGTACATGAAGAAAAATAAGTGCTTGGGCTAGTAAAATAAATGGACTGGTTAACCTCAAATTTACACCACACAGTCCAGACAGAAGCCATAAAGAGAGGCCTAACTGTACTACAAGAGCTTAAAGGGCTTACCCATCCATGAAAGCTTTATACAGTTCCCTGGCAAACTCGAGAAACAAAGGCTTTGTCTTTTTTTACTACTTTTACTGCTCCTTTATATGTAAATGAGGTATAAACAAAGATTTGAATGAGTGACGAGCTTGAGTCAAACGATTAGGACTATTCCCTAAAACATTAAACTTGCTGTATCCAAATCCAAGCCAAGTAGCCAACACACCCACCAGTCCACCAACCTCTCTAGAAAATGAAACATCACAAATATAACAGTATAGAGTCTACCACACACCTACCTACCTAATCTTTATGATACGGATGGAACCCAAGCAAGTAGCTTATCCACATTTTGCTAAGACCTGGCTTGAACCTACCTTCACCCACCATCTATGTCCACATCCCCTCCCAGTCCTTGTCAAGAACTTTCAAACTTAAACGGCACCAACATAAACACCATTTCTTGAAAGCTCAAACAAAGTTAAATGGCTACAAATTCTAGTGCTTGTGGAGACACTTCTATAGAGCTGATCAGAATTGCAATGATGGCATGAGGGACGAACCCTAACTTAGTAAAATAGAAGAGGATCGTCTTATACAATTTTGATTTGGAAGAGCGGAAGTTTTATAAGGTTAACCCTTTTTTTTTTTTTTTTTCAGTAGGATTTTGGATTTTTTTTAAACTGTGGGGAGGTCAGGGCCATCCCTGACTACCTATTGAATTCATCCTTAATCACTACTGCGATTCGGTGAATTATATATCTAAAATATCCAAATGCTAATATAATTTTGAATTTCTTACCTAAAGTTTCATATTAAAACCCTTAAAAAAGTGAGGTAAAATTTAAAAATTAGAAAGGAAGGAAAAAAAGAAAAAAGAAGAAGAGTTAGTTCCATTATCTAATCTAAAACCTGTTAAGACTTCCGATAAAATTAGGGCAAATTATTTAAGCAATACTCCCAATGAAAACTCTTGCAAAATCATTAATTAATTTAAGCTTAAATCAATTGTTTCCATTACTTACTTAATTTTACATTCTATAACTGTGGGACTTCTTATATAATAATAATAGTAGTAGTAGCAGTAGTAGTAGGTAGCTTTAAAAGTTCTTTCTAGAAGGATCAGCAAAACTTGATTTTTTTCCCTCTTCGTTACAGAATATGGGTAGTTGATTTTTCTTAAGATAAAGGGCGTTCGGAGACTTGTTTGACCTCGTGATGCAAGTCACTCCAAAAACTATGTTTATTTTATTGGTAAATATTTTAAAGTTTTGTTTTGTTTTGCTAGTTGTGGGTGTAACCTCACAATTTAGAAGTTAATGGTAGGGTACCTCTCAACCATGCAAGATAAAGAAAATCAAATAATTAAAAATACTATCATAAATCACAGAAAAAATAATTATGTAAACTTTAGGCAATTATAATATAATATAATATTGAGTGATTCATTTTATAAGAAAACCTTAAATCTCGTGGGCGCTTAATTGTTTTCCAAAACTAGGCACCACGCGGGTTGACTTGTGGCTTGCCACTTGGAAACACATGAATGTCACATTGAAGGATGACTGGACTACGCGTCGCTTGAGGCTGGCTCCAGGTGTTAAATGAATTTTCTTTTTCTTTTTCTTTTTATTTTTTAAAAATTGTATTGATAAAGGTTTTCCTGCAGCAGTATTCTTTTGACTTGTTTTAATCGTCCTTTTATTTTATTTTTTTAGGTTTACATGCGCTGGAGAAGTACAAGTCCTCGCTTTGTCGTCTCCTCTATCATCTCAACATCTCATCTCCATTTGCATATTATTGGTTAAACGTACTAAAATCATATAAATGAAGAACAAAGCTGTACTGGTGGTCACAGGCTTACATCATTTGTTGATGCAAATGATATCCCATTACTAATTAATCTAACCCGCCAATTATCAATAATTCTTAGGAACTTCGTTAAAATATTTGACTGACCGACTCTTGAAACACAGAGGAGCTAGTAATGTAATGATGTTGTTAGTTGATATTGTCATATCATATATTCTGAAGGGATGACAATGGATATGGTATCCGGTCCATTAAGTTAATTTCACAACTTATCTTACAACTTACTCATTAAAAATATTATATTTATTATCTTATTCATTATTTATTAACAATCACTTGCTTATTTTTTTATTCAGCTTATATCGTGTCCAAACCCATTTATCTGTTAATTTTTTTTTCTTAAGTTAAAAATTTTTTTTTCAATTATTTTTTTTACTAAAAAATATTTTTTTGTGACAAACTCTTTTTGTTTAGACTATTTTTATATAGTAAAATTTTTTATATAATTATTTATATTTGTATTTTGTGATTTATATAGAATGAAATTATTTTAGGACTTACTCCTGTGAAAATGATGCTTTAGAAAAAAGAGCTATTCCTACCACAAGAACTTGTACACTTATCATAGCAATCATTGGCTTGTAACTATCTATCACATTCATGCTAAATTTCTTAAAATATCAATGGGATAGTTGGTTTCTAGTAATCGCAATAATATGATAATATATATCAATATTCTCATTTAGGAATGCAATATTTGTATTTATATATGCTGATGTAAGGTCATTAGTTGAGATATGCATCAAAGCAACTCTTAGTAAAGGTTTCAAATGAAATCCACAAAAGAAACAAATATATTGCAAGTTCATTAACTCATGCTAGCATGTTTCAAATAATTAGAAGTAATTTGCGAAGATTTGACAAGGATATCTTAGAAAATTAGAGGTTTTCTAAGAGATAAAATGTTACATTTAAAATAAACATGAAAGAATTTTAATTTCAAGTTTGAATTGAAATGCAAATTTTGAGTCTTCTAATATATTTATGAAAATGTCGCTTTAGAAAAAAGAGCTATTCCTACAACAAGAACTCCGTATGCTTATCATAGCAATCACGGGTTTGTAACTATCTATCACATTCATGCTAAATTTATAAAAATATCATTGGGATAGTTGGTCTCTAATTGCAATAATATGACAATATACATCAACATTCTCATTTACGAATGCAATATTGGTATTTATGTGCGCTAATGTAAGGTAGTTAGTTGAGATATGCATTAAAGCAACTCTTAGTAAAGGTTTAAGATGAAATCAACAAAATAAACAAATATATGGCAAGTTCATTAATACATGGCAACATGTTTTAGAAAATTAGAAGGTAATCTGTGAAGATTTGACAAGGATATCTTCGAAAATTAGAGGTTTTTTAGGAGATAAAATGCTACATTTAAAATGAACATGAAAGCAATATTAATTTCAAGTTTGAATTTAAATGCAAATTTTGAGTCTTCTAATATATTTATAGCTAATTAGACATTTCGGGACGAGTACAAGCAAGATGCTAAGATCTCATCTTTGCCGGTACTAGTCTTCATTATATTCGTCATCATGTAATTTGATTTTTTTTTTTTTTGTTTACATCTTCCTCAATATGAGAAAAAAAATTCATCGCATTTGAAGTATTTACATAAATACAACATAAATAAATAAAATAATATAATTCAAAATGAGTTCTAGATAAATTTAATTTTTATAACATAATAAAGAGAATTCATACCTTGTATTTGACCCTATAACTAACTTAGCAAGCACATCAAAGTTTTCAAAGTATCTTTGTGTAGCTTACTTCAATGTAGACTTACTACTCTTCCACCAATGCTAAATAAAGATTTAGATGCTAATGCAGAGATAGAAATAGTAAGAAAGTCTCTAGCAATCATTTGTAAAGTGGGATATTTTATCCCATTTGTTTTCCACCAACCAAGAATGTTAAATTCTTCGATCATGGCAAAACCTTTTCCCTTAAATAATTATCCAATTTGGATTTATAAGTGTTTCATATAACTCAACACTAAAAATCTCGGCTAATCTTGCAAGACTACCATGTTCCTTTACAAAACCATCGAATTCCAATATATTAGCACATGAAATAGATGTGGCAAAAGTAGAGATAGGTGAATCAACGAGTAGACCTATCCTTGTACTCATCAAGCAAATCATGACATAATCTTTTCATCATTTTAACCTTATCGGATGCATATTCATTATAAAAAATGTTTTTTAAAAAAACTCTATTGCTTTCATCTTATACCTAGGATCCAAAATAATCGCCATGACCATGACCAAATGGACATCACTCTAATATTTATTGAAATTTTGATACATGTTTTTTCATCATAGTTAACTCTT